TGAGGTTTAGTAGCCTTGGACTGTTGATGTTATAGACGGTATCACGGAAAGCGTAATCGAGGATGCTGAAGTAGACGATTAATAATGCGGATAAATGGAGCCTGGAATCTGAGAACCATGGTGTAAAGCAAAACTGTAGACTCACCGGTTTCACACTGCCAACGCTTGGAACAACCCTCACGCAATCTAGTCAGTCGTTCGTAAGTTCTACGCACGTTAGCTCTTGTATTGGTTTCACTTACCACATCACGTGCCCATCGACTTATAATGATTCTTTCTATCTCTGGTACGATACTAGCTTATACAGCATCTCATTGATCTCCAGGCTTTTAAGTGCACGTCCATTCCTGTCCTGTCTCATTTAATCACTTGCTGTCACCACCCTAACTGTGGTAAACGTTGTTTTCCTCTATTCCCATCCGATAACTCCTAAAACCAATCAGGCCTTACTGATTCCATCCCATTCTCCCTTCTTCTCAAGCTTCGATTTTTGGCTACACCCTATTCGGACGCCCTGTGTGGTTGTTCAATCCATCTGGTCTGTGCTTTACCCAGAAGGGATCCCCATCCGGTCCAAACAATACATCCGACATTACAGTTGCTTTTTATACATTGGCCGATTCCCTGGACCGACCCCAAAAGTCCCGTTGCTCATAGAGTTGTGCACCCCAGCCCAATCACCTCAAACATGGCGTCGTCAAAGGACTGTCCAGTAACCGAAGTACGTCACTGTGATGATCGCATGGGACTCCCATACCCAGTTCGTTAGCACACCCGCGACTGTTCAGTTCGTACTTTTGACGAAGCTCTTGTCCACTCGCGCCCTTACAACTGCGAAAAATCTCTTCACCAAGCCCCAGCCGCTTTCGAGACCCATTCATTCTGGGCGAATGGGCCTTTCGTTTTGGATATGAACATCTCTTTGACTTCCATTCTTCGCTCATTACAAAGTCAGCCATTTTCTGCGCAGTTCGCGTTCCGTCTTGTGCGTCAGCACCAAAAATCTCTCCGTCAGGGAACTTTTGTTGCAAAGTCAGCTAAAGCAGTGACGCTGGTGAATCTCCACAGTTTCAATGTACACCGTGACTATGAGATTCCCGTCACCATTTATCTGTACTAGTGATTCTTCTATTTCATCCTCACTTTTGCTTTCTTTGGGCCATTAGCCCAACAGCCTAAGGCCGAACAGGTCTCATCGAGGGGTTTAAATTTAGTTCACATTGACCGGCCAGATCGTGACAGTCCAGCTACGGCACCAGACCCGTTGTTCTGGTTCATCATTTTTTGCAATTTGAAGTTTTCTCATCGTGCACCCAGCTGGATGCCTCTTTTTCGCCCTCTCTTGTTCTCGCTATCTTTAAATCTTAACGACCTGATCTCGTCTCAGCTTAATATTTCCCCCACAAAATGAGATAAACTCCTGGCAACTTTCCTCCCTTCCCATGTCGGTTTAAGAGTGGTCAAGTCTACATCGGATATTGCCCCCTATTTATGACAATGTCTTTTTTACGCGCAATCCCAGCAAATCACCCTAATCGTGCTCTATTTTTACTGATACCGCATGATCATGCGTGACTTCACGTCGCACACTAGTTGATAACAAACATTATTATTATTATTACTGTTATTATTGTTATTATGGTGGAGTCGGGTGTGAAAGTTCTCCGGAAGAGTGAGCTGTTGACAACACACAACGTGGAACACGAGCTGTAAAAGCTATTGACTTTGTGGAGAGCAAAGACTAAAAGTCCGGTGAAATGGTTAAATCCGAACGAAGGATTTAGCAGACTTCAATGAAAGACTCATGAAGACGGCTGTGTGAAGAATTTGTTGCCATTTGCAGTTAACTAATCGAGATGGGGGAGGGCACGATCAAGAGTAAGAAGCAAATATTTGCGGGTGTGCTATCAAACCGGGTGTGGCAGTGCCGTGCCATCATTGGCCTGACACACTTCTGTTTTATGACAGCACCGTAATGGACGCCATATTTAAGGTCGTTAAGCATGGATGCACAACTCTTTGGGAGGTATCTTTTGCGAAGGAGGAATCACTGTGAGTGCAAACGTGAATGCAAACCACAGGCCAGGTAGACTGGATAAAAGCCAAACACAGCTTCCAAACCATGTATTACCAAAGCTTCAAGGTTTAAAAGATGATAATAACGGGATGAGACTAATAAAGCTATCGGACAGGATAATGTGCATTAATAGAGAACAAACACTAAACTTTAACCACAGTTAGGGTGGTGACAACAATTGATTAAATGGCACAGGATAGGAGTGGATCTGTGCTTGTTAGGCTAGAAGTCAATCATGGATTTAGTTTGCTAATATATGGTGGACTTGTGCTTATTAGACTAGCGGTCAATCATGGATTGGGTTTGCTAATATATGGTATTAAAGTACAAGAGGTCTAGAGCTTTCATTGACAAGTGGTGCATGGTGAAAAAGAGCCTTTTGGCACTAGCGTTGTACGCTTGTAGTGGAGGGTTAGGAATCTCGTGTGTACATAGTTTTATTTCTTAGCTGGTACGGAACATGTCAGTTGAGGCATAATCGGGTCGTTACAACCTGAACGCGACAGGCAACAACAAAACATGGAGGGGGTACAACCAACGAGGCACGCTTGTTACGTAAAAGGTCACCCTAGTTTCAGGAACGAAAGAAATAGGACAATGAGCATGAGGCACGACTGGTTCAAAGATGAAGCCAGCTGACATCAGCTAAACTGGTATTCGGGAATTAATGGGGCATTAACACTTCATATGATCTCCTCAGAGTACAAGATGTTAAATCTTTTGTGTTATGTCTGGATGATGAAATGGACGCGGAGAAGTGCAACTCGACTGAGACGAAGGTGGCAACTCCTTGCACGTCGATGCTAGCTGTGAAGCTGGTACAGGATACCAATGCATATTTTTCTATAAATTGGACGAGAGAACAGCTGGTAATCACTTGGTTTTCTTGGTTTTCCAAGACAAGCGACAAACGTCAAAGGTACAAACCATAAGCTAGAGAAAAAAGTAGCAGTGCACTTTCATGGACATAATGACATAAAGGTCAGCTGCGGAAACACAGGCGATGGGCGATACACACGCGCTAATGGAGGAGTGACCAATATACGAACTCACCATGGTACAGCGTAACAGAGCGACCCTCCAGGGCGACCCGTCTACCACAGCAGGTTTTCATTCTCATGCTACCTGATCGGCAGGGTGAAAAGCCACAAAACTGTCATAATTGCGGCTCGAGCATTATCAAAGAACTCCAGCCAGAAAATATTTTATCCCGTCGAGGAGGGATAGCCGGGTCAGTAAACCAGCCCAGTCGATTCGAACAAGCGAACAGTCGCTGGAAGAGGCAAGTCGCCGAGGCAAATAAAATGGCATTTACCATATGGGCCATCGGAGTAGAATGGCGATGTTCAGAGCCTGTGTATTATGGCTAGGTGACAACGACGGTTGGTATGAACCGCCATGTCAGAGGCGCATTACAATGTTATATATAAGGATATATGTACGGGCTGTAGAACCAAGCCCTTTCAGACCCGCTAATTTATGCGGTGCAACGCGCGTGATCAGAGGATGCAGAATGGTTCTGGAGAGTGAGGAAATAAGGCTTCGGTCTGGCTAATTTTAGTTAGACCATAGCAGAGCAAAGTACCATACACTAACTAGAGTTGACAGAGCTGCCCAAGGATGGGACCGGGTTTAAGTCGTCTAGGTGGAGAACCTTAGGGCCGAAGGTAAAGAAATAAAACAGGGTCAGTGGAGACGGGCATGAAAACGATTACGGTGACAGGCGTTAGACACTAGGCAGTATATCAGCGCTTCAGAGAGCAGATGCAGATGCCGATGCAGTCCCAGGAAGTAAAGCATCTGCACAAGAGATAGGTAAAAGGGAAATTAGTGGCCAAGAGCACTTGGAAGGGAAGCTGTCTCATATGTGCGTTAACGCTGGAGGGTTCAAACTGGCAAGTGTACATGATAGGACCAAGTAATACGAGAGGTGAGTGAGAGCGCAACTTAGAGGGGCTTAGGGCCTCTTTCACAAAGTGTCTACTGTAAACCGTGGCGCGAAACGACGCCCTGTTTGTTCAACAGAAAAGTAGGAATATAGGGTGTTTCGAAAGTCTACAAGAGAGGGTATAGTACGGATACGGGAGGGATGCTTCTTTTATGGTTTGGAATACAGGCAAAGGAGAAAAGTTTTGTCCAAAGTGATTTCGACAAGTCAACAATAGGAGCAAAATTCCAGAGTTTTGGGCATAGTTGTTAGAGAAGGAGGAAAACTCAGTGCGAGTCAGCTATGTAAACCCGTCGGCAGATTGGGCGATGCCACAGGCCAAGGCTCAACCTAATGCGCCTCAGCTACAAAGGATTCAGCCCAAGTAAAAAACAGTGAAGACGATATGGTAGTGCGGATGACGCCGGGTACAACGACTTAATAATTGAGCGCTGCACATTCTCCATTACACTCCGACATGCCTGTGGATACTGTGAGGCGACTTTGGGGCTATATTTCAGAATGGGTCCAACGTGCTGCTTAAAGATGGCAATTAAACACTGTTTAGTGTGGGAAGATCGGAGGATGAAAGTGCAGAGCTTGTGCGCTTTAGCTACTTTGTGCCGCACATATTTGGAAGAACCAAACGTGCTGGGTTAACTAGGACCTAGGTCTCTCACATTGCGAAGAGTAGGAATCGACGGTCCATTAAAAATAAGCAACCCAGGATGGATCTGAAATTAATATGAGAGAGCATTGCAATGTATAACGAGGAAAAATTCAGGTGTTATTGTAGTAGATGGCTGAAGATGTAATAATAATAATAATGTTTATTCCCAACTTGTGTGTGGCATACCGTCTGGCATGATGATGCTTTTACAGTCAAAATGGGGCATGACTGGGGATTTGCAGGTAGTGGGGATTGCGCGAAAAGAGGACAATGTCATTAACAGTGAGACGTATTCGATGGAATAATAATAATAGGTTTCTTCCGCAACTTGTAGGGTCAATGGGATGAGGTCCGACTAATTCAAAGACTTAGTCGGTTGACATGAACTGAAACTGGGAAACTATTTCTGGCAATGAGTGACCTTGGGCGGTTGGGTAAATGGCTGGAGTCACAACGAGCGAAAGTGGGGGTGAAGATGGAATAATTCAAATTGGGGGAACATTGCAAGTTTAGCCTCAAAAATATAGTGCCATCTGAGAACAAGCAGACTCACTGGTTGCAATGTTGTGGGGGAGTCAGGTGCAGGGGATAGGTTGGGTGGGGACACAGAGGTGGTTGAATAACGAGTAGACCAACAGATTGGAATGAATGTCCCGGACGCAGTTAGGGTCAGTTGAGGAGTTTGTCATATTTGCAGTCAATGGAACGAGTATGCAAGCGGGTACGGTCGGGAGGAGGAATGAAACAGTTGCGGGTGTGCTATCAAACTGAGTATGGCAGTGTCGCGCCATCATTGGCCTGACATGCTTCAGTTTTTTGGACGGCTCCGTAACGGATGTCACATGTACGTGATTCGGCCTGGGGTGTGCGGTTCATTTGGGCGGCGGGATTCATTTCAGTCTGGTCGAGGAAACAAGCT